GCGCACCCTCCACCGTCACAGTGCTGACACACAACGCCCTATTAACCGCCATGGTGGCTAAGTTTAGCATCAATGAGAAGCACTCGTTGCTAATCAAATACAGTAGGAGAGCTCCTAAAACGTTCTGTGGAGGTGTTTCATGGTTGCATTAGAGCCACGAGAGCTCTCCATAACTTTTGAGTACGGAGCTGAGGCTACGTGGCCAGGCAACAGAAAAAAGGAGAAAAGGGTGGAGTGGGAGTTGGGGGGGGCAGGGGAGGGGGGCGAGATGAGGTGCACCATCAATCTCACTTACCCAGGATACTACTCTCCCGTTGAAACAGGGCAGCTTAGCATTGTCATCGGAAATCTCTTCTTTGACGACCCTGGGGAACAAGCAGACAGAAACAGTTAGCTTAAAGCACTAAAACACAGACGATCACAGAGCAGTGGAGGCTGATGGCACTTTCTCTACTCCTCGTTACTACATGTCCTTCTCACTATTTATGGGGAGTTTTCCATGTATAGTGTTTTTTTATGTTTAGTGTTTGAGAACAAATCTCTTTTTTTTTATTATGATTGGAGGGTCAATAAAAACAATTAATCTAATCAATTTAAGGCTTTCAAAATAAATACATAACACAAGTTAACTGTGTTTAAAAGCAAAACAAGATTTCACAAGTAGTTCACTAGTTGATATGCAAATGGTAACTGCTATGATCAATGGTAACATTGTTTTTTTAGGCAGCTAGCAAACTAGAATAGCTAGTTATATAAATAAATAGACAATTTCATAGTTAGCAAGAATAACAGATAGTTAGCTAGACAAAGATAGATTTGTATATACCAGAAGCAGAGGCTATTTAGCTAGAGTAGCTAGTTAGTTAGGCAGCTAAATACATAGAATAGCGTGCTTTATAAAAATAATACATAGAAACTAGAAGAATAGATAGTAAACTAGCAAAATAGTAAGCTAGCTAGCTACCTAGAATAACTAGATAGCTAGCTACAGTGGCTAGATAGATAGATAGATAGATAGAAGTGTCAAGCAAGTGTGTCAGTGTGTATTAAGAGAGTGATCTGTCTCCCTGAGTGTGTTTATCACAGGCTGTAAATTCTCTACAGAAATACCTCCCAGTTACCCTTTGACCTGCTGGGACACAGTTCAGCACACCTGCTAGACTCGTGTCACACACAGTTAGCCGTACACCAGCTAGATAACACTTCACACTCTCACACACACACAGGGGTTTAAAACCTGATATATTACCCAGCAACAATAATAACTCTGCGCAGCCTGGGTCATTATCCATGTTGTTTGTGGGTCGTTTATTTTTTATTATTCCTTCTAAAGGACTTGTCCAGAAATGATAGAACGGAGCATTTCTGAAACCTCATCTTAGCCTTTGAACACAGGACATAAAAAGGAAGAGGTGCACACACACACACACACACACACACACACCTAAGAGGATTTTATGCGTCTGACAGCAAGCTAACAGTTCCATTTCCACCTCCTGTCTGCCACAACGTCTCAACTACTGGAATGATTAGCCAGGCTCACTGTGTTTTTGTACTGGCTGCTGCTCTGGCAGCTGTGCTGCAGGGAGTGGTGGCCAGAGATAACGTGGCCCCGTGGCTGGAACTGATGACCAGAAAGTCTGCTGCTGCTGCTGCTGCTACGTCTGCTGCTGCTGCTTCAGCCTGGCAGCACCCAGAGCGAGGGGGGGGCGTAGGGAGACGTTTGACTCTCCTCTGGCAGCTCCTGAGCTCGGAAGCGTGCATCCTCTCTTAAGCTACAGACGCAGCTGTAAGGTGACTTGTGAGGAAGTGGGAGTGGCTTGTAAAAATAAAATATCAGTGACGCTCGCCGCTTCCTGCTGCCTGACAGGACAAGAAGTTCAATGCAAACAATGACACAAAAGTTTACCCTGTGTGTGAGGAATATATATATTACATTTCTAGAACAGCAGGTGCTAAATACCAACTATATTTTGATGATATTTCATTTTCTTCAGTTAAGTTTTTTAGTCCTGGGATAGGACTATAGCTATAGCACAGGTGTCAAACTCAGGCCCGCGGGCTTAATCTGGTCCCTGGTGTAATTATATTTAGCCCGCGAGATCATATCAAACGTATATTAGAGTTGGCCCGCCATAATATAGCCACTATATACTGGTGGGATTTGTAGTTATTAGCGGTGTATGCACGATATTATAGCACACATTGGCCCACAGTGAGTCTGAGTCTGACACCCACAGTCTATTAAATCTGTCACAGGTGGAGCAGCCTCCCTGTGTCTGGGCCTGTGCCCTGGCTGAACAGGTCAGACAGACCAGCCGTTCACATATAGGAAGTGTTTACACCCATCTACAACGTCTGCACTCCACTGCACATCCGCACGTTGGATAAATGACCGAAACCGAGGGAAGTGAGGAAACAATGCAGAATATAATGGATGACGTCTTGCATGTGTCATGAAACAACCTTGGCCTGCATTCTTCTCAGCTCCATCTGTTATCTGCGGCAGCATTTGTGTTAGTTCCACTACTGAACTCTACACACACACACACACACACACACAGAGATAATATGAAAAGGCATGTGTCTGGTGTGGACAGCTGTCACAGATCTACAAGCCTAAACAGGTTTTAAAAGATTATACAAAATTATGAAGAGGTGATTAGTTGATAAGTCACTGCAGGTGATATTTGTTTAGCAGGAAATGATTAAATGTATTTGTTTATGCTACAACAGAGGGAGAAAGAGGAGCACGGCTGAGGAGTTACAGAATAAACGCCGAAACCAGAAGCAGGAGAAAAGAGCCAACGGCGACTGCGGTAAGCGTTTGCAGCGTTCCATAAACACAGAAGGGAGATATTTGTCGTAAAACGATACTGTACACAGATACAGACTGTGTCAATAAATATAAAATATTTATATGTGGGTAATTAGGGAATTTCCATCTGAAATTGTTTGCACATTTCTATTCATACTAAAAGTAATACTTATTCTTTAAAGATAAGTAGAAAAATAAAGCACTTTAGTATGTAATAAAGTAGCGTTATTATTTGAGCTTTACTTCCTCATATACTGTGACATTATGTCAGTTCACATCAACAGTAAATGTCAGAGTACCATATGGCTTAGACGCTGGGTTTGTCCTTTAAAAGACAATATTCAATATTTACTCCCCAAACTACACCAAGGCCCCAGGGTCGAAGCACAGGAAATACATGTCAAATAAACAAGTTGTGTTAAAAAAAACAACAACTTGTTAGTATCACATTAACACTTTCGAGCCCAGACAGATACATTTAAATAAAAGCACGGTGTACATCAGTCGACGGTTTATATCGACTTGTATTTTTCAATGTTGGGGTAAACATGTTGATTTCACAGGTTCAAGTGTTGTCTATTAATGATGATGTTAGGATAATCATGAGGGAAAGCAGTGTTCAATTCTCTAGTTATACAATGTCTGACTCTTCATTGGTTAGACATTGTTCCATGCTACATTTTAGGTGCACACTTCTAAAGTCTAAACCAACAGAGGCTCCGCAGGAAAAAAAAAACCCCTCGACTACAGCTCTCTTTTCTGAGGCACAAACAAGACTGTTTCTTTCAGACCTTCAGTTTGGCTGCTTCCTCAGCACCACAGTGCTTCTGTGACTTGCATTATAGTGAGGTCCCAAAAGCACTCACCACCAGTGGCAATGACAAAGTGCCATATCATCAAGTTCAAGTCTCTTAAAAGGCCAAGTGGCTGCTTTCAAAACAACTCTGCCCCAATGAACTTCCAGTTTATGAATATTGATGAATGAATAATTTCACTTTTTTTTTAATGACTAGAAAAATACAGTAGGATGTGTACTTCAAGGAATGTTTGCATTTAATGTCCTCGGGTCTCTTGAGTGAACAAAAATTCGACAGTCGCCGCAACCGCAGCTGAAAATGGCGCGTTCTCTGAGGTAGACCGAGGTGATTTTCGAGACGCCATTTAGCAAATTTGTATGGTTGTTGTTGGAGAACCGATACAGACAGCAAAACGCAGCTCACTGATCTCTTAAGAAAATGGCTGGATTTTTCCTGCACAGCAGGCGGTCTCCTACAGAGGACCTTGCACCGACTGCTCATTTACATTTCAAACACCGTCTATAACTGCGAGGGATTTGATGTTTTCTCTTTCTGCTCAGCAGTCTTAGTCCTCCCTAGCTAATTCTCCAGCAGCCATACCGTCTGTGTGTATGCAATCCAGACAAGCAACGCTACCACAAAGAGCCGCTATCCTCTGTGCCTTTGACCATGGCGGCTTCTTTACTCTGCCAATGCCATGCAGCAGAAGCAGGGCCTGGATATTCAGCCCCAACTCAAAGTGTGTAACCGTGTTTTTCCGAAGCAGCCCTGTGACAATGTCCAATATGTGAGAGAACTTCACATGTGTTGTTGATGCACATGCAGGAGCCAGTCGGCCTTACGTGGAGCCATGTCTCTGTGGTAAGAGCAAACACACATTGTTTGTTTCCATAATCTGCTTGTCGATCACCTGAGGCCCAGCAAGGAGCTCAGGCCTGCAGAGCAGGAGAGAGACAGGAAGGGCTAGGACAAAGCGCAGCACCAAGTCTCGCCCGCCACCAGGAAGAGCCAGTTTCCCTCACAAGGTCAGGCTGCAGTGGAAACGCTGTGACGTCGGGCTCTACGGACACTGCCTGCCGCTGCATTTCCTCCAATCACGTGGGTGATTACGGTTCTAGACTCAAATGCGTGTGTGTTATGACTGTTTGGGCTGGAATGAGAAACGGGCACTGACACAAATATGTCATTCTCAGCAAAGCCCTGATACAAATGGAGCTCACTGTCTAAGAGAGCACAAGTTTCTGACACTCGGGGTGGGATTACAAAGTGAGGACAAAGTGTGAGCACACAAAGTACAGAGAAAACACAGGAGAGAAAAAAGTTCTCGGACTTTGAGGTAGAATAAACAACTAATAAAAACTCATTTTCAGTTTTTTTTTCTCCCCAACAATTTTACACTAAAAAAATATTCCCTTCTGATCCTGTCACTGATGCCATAAGATATTCAGCAGTACAATTACACTAAAACCTCAACCGTCATATCTTTTTTTTTTTTTAAATCAAAATCCAACCTTAACCACGAAAAAAAAAAAATACGGACAAACGCAGAAACCACCAAACAACCTCCGTAACAACACCCGGACAAAGACGTTTAAAAGAGTGCAGTCCAGTCCTGCAGCAAGCCACGGACTCTTTCTGGTGCTGATTTGTATTCCAAGTTGCCCCCCTCCCCCACCCGTCTTTTAAATGTTGCAACACTTCCACCATTCTTCTAATATACAGCCATTTGATTGGGGTAAATCGCAATTTAATTCAAGGCTTTGGTTGGAAAATAAGACAGAAACATAACTGGAATCTCAATCCATCTGAACGTCATGGAATATTTTGTCTATGAATGACTGGTCAGCACTAGCACGTTAGCAGTTTTTATTACTAGACTAGATCTGTACAGTCCAAATGACGGTTTTATAAAAAAAAAAAAAACTCTGTACAGTCCAAATTTATTTAAAAAAAAACTGTAAAAAGAACTGAAAGGTTGGAACATTTGGGGACGATATAATATATCATGTCAGTCTGGGTGACAGTCCAGGTTCTGTCTGACACACTCAGCAAAAATGCATTTAAACAAGCATCTATGCAACATTCATTATTCACCAGCAGTCCATCTAAAAAAAAAAAACCCTGTTGCAGCTGAAAAGCCACAGTAACTCCAGGCAGTGTGTGGTACTGTTTGACATCTGATCATTTGACATTTCATTTTCTCCTTCAAGTGGATCTACATTCAATCCGATCATTGATAATGCAATTTCCCTGTTTATAGACTTCCACCACTTATTTGTGGTTACTGCACTCTCCTGGCTGTCATCTGCTGGCCATTATGTTCGTGTCTAAGAGTCTATGAAGAAATAAAAACCTAAAGTAGATGTGCCATTAAAATAGATTAAATAATTAAGTTATATTTTGTTTAATGATTTTAATCTCAAAGGGCTTAGGAAAAAAAAACAAGCAACAATTAGCATCCACGGCTAAACCAAAACAACCCAGTATGAAAGCTGACAGACGGAAACATGTGGAGTCCGCAGTAAACACATGACATTTTACATTCCGCCTGCTGAATTACATGGACTATATTACTGGTTTCTGGAGCGGAGGGTCTGGCTGTGTGTAACCCATGCGGGGCTGCGTCACTGGGGCTCTGGACAGATCCGGTATCACTTCAAACAGTCGTGTGTCTCCTCCAGTGCGCACAGGACAACAGCAGCAGCAGCAGCCTGGAATAATGAGCAGGTGCCAGGAGCACGGAGGCAAACATGGCACTGTGTAGTTCGCACACATGGAACAATGTCGCTGCCCTGCATCGCTTCATGTCGCCTGTATAACACTGTACCAAAGCGCGGCGCCACAACCACCGGCTAACACGGCAAACGATCGGCTATTATTAGCAATATTAATGATAATATCCACCACCAACGGAAGCCACTCACCCAAAATCCTGGTCCATGGATTTGAAGAAGAATTTGTAGCTGTTGACGGGTCGATTGTTGAGGACATTTTTAAAATCCGCTAAGGTGACTTTCTCTGGAGAGACGGACAGTTTGACCAGATAAGGAGTCTCCTCCTCGTCTATATGGTATATGATTTTAGTCTCCATGAGAGGAAGGGGAGGACAGTCATTGACACGGCAAAGGAAACAAGGGCTGGCAGCGCAATAAACAGGCCTGCTGTGTTACCAGTTAGCCGTGGAATAACATCAGAGCATTCCCTAAAACATGAACCTGTGGCCGCCGCAATGGAAAAGCAAGCTCCGCGTCTGTGACAAACGCAGCACAAATCCACACATAACCGCGTTGCCTGTGTTCCTGCTCCAGTGTGAGTCGGTACGGTGGCTCTGTCGGCACTAAAACAGGAAGGGACGGTCAACATCCTTGCAATACAGAGTTGGGAATATTGCTAGTGTTTTTCTACAGGCTAATTGGTGAGACAGTGCTGCCATCCAGTGGTAAGAGCAGGCTATGCGCAGGCCTATTGGCCGGTCTTATACAATAACACAACAGGTTTTGTGCCGTGTATGAAACAAAGAGCTGCTGGACTGGCGTCATGAAACACGGACACCGGGGTTTTTACCTAGAACAGCGTTTTTTAATCTATTTTAGTGTGCATGCCGTGACTAAAAAAAATAGTTTGTCTACCTCTCACTCTCTTTTCCAACATATCAATATATAATGTTACCCTCGTACGACCAACAATTAAAAAAACACAAGTGAAAATGATATTTTCATTACATCGCCACGGCAATTAAACATAATATACATATTTCTCATACGTAGCGCAATTGTTCTCAGGTATCGTGTCAGGTGCCTAAATACAGCCAATCAACGCAAATCCTAACGACTGCTAAGCTAGGACGTAAATAACGACTAGCGAACCGCGCGTTCTTTAAATAGAACTGCTAACAGGCTCTCAATGTTGCCAGATAAACGATAATTGTCGTATTTGTGAGACAAGTTTACCCTCTGCGCCCTTAATTATTCCCCAATTGTTCATAAGTTGACCCCTATGGTAACATAGCTAATCAAGTCATTAGCAAGTCATTAGCATGTCATCCGGCCGTTACTCGCTCTACTGGTTGTCGTAAAGTGGTGACGCAGGACGTAAAACAGTATATGTTGACCAAAGCTGAGTTTTAATGCTGAAACTTGTAAAATAGTAAAATACAAGTCTAGAATAATGGGTTATTGGAGTAAAAGTATTAAGATTTCATCACAAATTGGTAGCTATACAATGTAATGCTACAGTGCTAAAGTAGGTTTTCTTTCAGTACAGTTAAAACTATAGTAATGAAATCACAATAGTCTAATATTTTATAAAATAATATTTTTGTCATTTTTAATATTTAGAGCAAATTTAAAACGTGTTAATACTTACTTTCTAATCTCACAGAGCACATGGAACGAAACAAATCTCCGACCACCGCTGTGAACTTTCAGTACAGGCACTTTATTAAAAACACAAAAGATAGCGTGAGCTAGAAGCAAGACAGAGAGAAGGAGACAGATGTGAAGAAAGGGGGAGACAGGGCTACACTGTCATTTACTATGACTGCAGTAGTAGACATACTTCATCCTGCAGTACACCTCACTGAGCCGTGAAGCCTCGGTATAACCTGTATTATTAACTAGCAGTTTGTTTCAATAATAAACATTCAGTGTTTCATAAACTGGGAACCTTCGTACATGGTTGATCCAGAACAGTACCCCACGATACGGCCTGTTCAAACGCAAATACACCTTTCCTGAGTTTCAAGATTCAAACTGAGCTATTAGTCCATGATGCCAAAATTTAGTACCTGATATGGTGTCAACGACCTGATGGAGCGGTGAGAGTTTCTAGAATGTACCTACTGTAACTCACACAGCAAAATGTGAAGTACCACTGAGAAAAGTACCACAGAGTACATAAAAAAAGGGGGGAATTTCGAGAAATACTTACAGCTGTGAACCTGCAGTCCTGTGAGCACAGTATATTTAAAACATACTTGAAACAACAGCATGCATTTCAACTACAAATAAAATGACTACAAGTAGAAAGAGGGGAAAAAATAGCATAACATTCAACATAAACCCAATAATGACTGCAGCGGATAAGTGAGGATTCTAATAATACTTAATTTTACCACTAAACCTGCTGGTGAAAAATGTAGTTATGTTAAAAAAAGTACACTATAAAAACGGCCTTTTAGTGAAAAAAACAAACAAAAAAAGCTTGGTGCTAAGAGTTCAGCAGAGGGAGTGTTCCTCCTGTCGTCTCCTGCGGGTTTCCCTCCTCTTCCTCCTTCCTGTTCATCTTCTTCGACTCGTCAGCATTTGCCCTGGACCTGCCAGTAGCTTCTCAGATAGATTGCACTTACTTCCACGGCTTCTCATCGAAATCTAAATGACATGGTGACATAAAACATCACACCATCAGAACAAGTGTGCAGCTGCTGCTGAAAGAGCATTTTCTTATTCAAAAACAAAATTTAAAAAATGAGTATAAACAGCTCTGAATGTAATTTAACTTGATTAATAAAACAGCATTTAAGCACAGATTAAACCAGATTTGTATTTTGTTTCATCTAGTGAGTGGAATAAGAACAACTCTTAGAATCTATCGACCAAGGCTCAGCTGTACAGGTATGGTCCACAGTGACCATCATTGATAGGTTAGTATCTGCAGGTGGCGCTAAAAGCATAGGATGTCTGAGCCCTGAATGTCTTTGTTTGGAAGAACAGCTACGCTCAAAACACATTACATAAAATCTCACCGGGAACCAATGGAAAAAGGGTTCAGGTGCCACTGGTTCCAGACTCCTGGTCAAACTTATTAAAAATTCTTCTCTCAGTCCGGTCTCTATTTTTGAAAGGAATTGTTTTTTTGTCGTTGTTTACTCAGCTGCAGAATGCTGACTCACCTTTATTGCAGTCTTTGGCCATGTCTCTCTCCCTCAGCAGGTTGTTCTTGTACTCTGTGAATATTAGTGTATAATATGAGTATAAAATATGAGTAATGTTACAATGCGTGTACAAACAGTATCTCTACAGACGAGGTGAACGCTACCAGAAATCAGAGGTTGTTGGTTGCAGACTCTGAGTTCTGTACAGTCCAATGAAAGCTCTCCTCCGTGGCTCATGCTCGCTCTGCGGTCAATAAAAATAAACGACGTTACGGTAAATAAGGTAAAGTAAATAAAGTTGGTAGAATGTTGGTAGATGATGATGATGATGATGTTTTACCGCTACTCTCTACGCAGCTCATACTCCAGTCCTTGAAGAAAATGAAACACACACTCATAAACAACCAAGTCCATGAAACATCACATCACGGAGGTCAAGCAATTTATCAGACAAAGAGCTTGGGGTGTCAAACATACGGTCAGTGGGTCAAAACTAGCCCGCTCCGGGGTTCATTGCGGACCGCTTGATGAATGTTGAAAGTAAAAAGAAATGTGCAAACACTGTGTGTTTTGTCAAATATTTCATTAAATATAATTCTTTTAAAATATATTTGTACTTATTTGTGTGAAAAAACATGGACTTTATGTTACACATATTTGCTGTATGTGGCCCCTGAACCAAAATGAGTTTGACGCCCCTGGTGAAGCTCGTGAACAAATACAAACCTCTTTTTTTCCGTCGCCGTGTCAGCACAACGACGACAGCCACTATGATCGCCAAGAGTAACAGCGTGGCCAGGAAGTAACCCAGATGCTGCACAAAGTAGCTGCGTTGCTCAGGGAGGATGACGTTCACCACACGAGGACTCTCCACCTCATCAGTCCCTGGAGACACACAATTAACAAGTGATAAATAATCACAGTGTTTTACACTGTAAATATTAGTCCAGGGAAACGATAACATCCATTCACACCGATGTTGCTGCTGTGTTTCACCAGCCTGTAGCAGTAAATCGAGCAGACGGTGATAAATGAAAACACAAGTGAAATTCATTATTATAACCAAACCGTCTCCATCCCGCTGAGGCGTCTTTTGTTTTATTTGTGTCCAAAAGCCAGATGCAGACGGAGGGAGAGCAGGAGTTAAATGTCAAAATGCTGTTTGGCAGTAATGATTTCCAGACCTGATGTCATGCAGCTGTTTTTTTTTTCTCTCTCTCAGAAAAAACAACCCAGGCAACCCAGAAACTGTAGGCAAAGTGTGAGAAGAAGAAGAAGTTCAGTAATGTGGTTTGTTTCTGTGTCTGCTTTTCCATTTGAGAAGATTTTTTTTTTGTGTGTCTGGTTTTCCATTTGAGACGATTTTTTTTCCTTCTTCACACACTCACAAGACGATGGTCTGAGTAAAGAAAATAAATCAGAGGCAACTTCATCAGAGCGCCGCATTCTTAGACGCCAGTTAAAAACACACCCACCACGGCTTTGTTACAAAAGATTTACACTTTAAAAATGATCCTTCAATTATTTGGGTCCTTTTATACAAAGCATTATTCATAGAACAAAGAACATTAAATGGTAAAACACATTCAAAACATTGATCTTGTTCCTTGGAAGGAAATCGTTTAAAGAGTAAAATCTGAGATTTTTGCTTCTTGTTTTTAATCACAGCTTTACTCTGATTAATTAATACATTCTTAAATGAGTCGTTCTCATGAAATCTTGGTCTGAAATTTGTTGTAGTAAGAGGGAATTATGTTGTGGAGTATGAGGAACATTAGCATGTTTTGTTAGCAACAGAGAAGCCATGATGACTATACACATTTTTACTCCATGAACCTAAATAGACATTATTAAAGTATTTTTTTCTTAAAAAAAGAAGAAGAAAATTAAACATGAGAACTTGAATCACGGATGCTTAAGGTTTCTTTAAAAAAAAGAAGAAAATTAAACATTTTTTATAAATGTGATAAAACTAGCTAGTATTAGTAGTAATAGTAGTAATGATAATCAATCCTGTTGTAGAGGATGAGAACTTGAATCACGGATGCTTAATTTTTCCTTTTTTCATTATTATTAAACATATAAATTAGAGCGTCCCTACATTCAGTACTGAGAAAGTTGTCATAAAATATAAATAAAATCAATTCCTATATTGAAATTACTCTTTAGTCCAAACAGACTAGCTTCATGCTACTGCCATGGTGTACTAATGGTTTCATGAGAATGACCCAAATATACAGTATGTTTTCAAGAGCAGTCAGGCATAAAAACAATCTGGCCAAACCACCCACTTCCTACAGGGCGTGATAATAATCACCTGTCGCTGTTTAATGTGACTAATATGAAGGGAGGTCAGAGCTGCAGCCGAGTCTCAGCTGGAGCCCACTTCCGTTCTGCGGACATGTGTCTTCGTGTTATAACGTTTGCCCAGAGGTGACCCGTGGGGGGCGACACAGATCATTAGCGAGTCAACGAACCTCAGGAAAAGGCTCTTCATCTTTAAAGTGAATGATGGCCCTGACTGTTAGCTACAAAAATGGTTCCATGATGTTTTTAAAAAAAGAAATCTTGTCTAAATATTTGGGCTGTCAAACAATTATGTTATGAATTGATTAATCACTGGGCAGATGTGAATAATCATAATTATTTCTGAGGAATAGGATTGACCTACATTTATATATATATATTATGATTTTATATACATATATACGTATATATATAAATCATAATAATAAAGGCCCCATGTGTGCAGTTCCACATGTCACAGGGTTTTTAAACGTGCTGTCATTCAGAGTCCAAGCGTCCAGTGCAAACTTCTAACTCTCCTTCATGCCACAGCTGGTCCAGATGTTAAACAGATGTGTCAGACTTCCTCTGACCGCTGGTAAACATGCCTTTACTGGAGGCTGATACACATCAGTCCAGAGAGAGAGAAGGAGAGAGGGAGGAGAGAGAGAGAGAGGGAGGGAGAGAGAGAGAGACTGGTCCAGACATGTGTATAGGACTCTGTGAAAACGGGGTCAACTGGAGGAAAAAACAAACCCACACCCTGAATTATCTCAAAGCCCGGTCATGTGGTTAAAATGTCTCCAGCTGTAATAAAAATGCTCTTAATAAAAAGAAACCTCCATTTGAGGCTGTTTACCATGGATTTAGATCTGAATCCTGCAGCTACAGTATCTGCTGAGTGTTTTTGTTTTTTTCCATTGTTTCCATGTTTTCTTCTGTTTCATTTCAGTCTTTCCTTCTGTCTTTTTGACATTTATTTCATTCTTTTTTCCTTTGTTTCTTTGCATTTTTATTTCAGTCTTTCTTCAATTATTTCCTTCTTTTTTCTCATTTTTTTCTCTTTCTCTCATCTTACCTTTCTTTCTTACATTTATCCAGTTCTCTCTTTTATTCCTTGATCTCTCTCTCTCTCTCTATATATATATATATAGTTTCTTTCTTTCTTCTTTCTTATTTTTCTCCCTTTCTTATTTCTTTCCTTCTCTCTTTCATCCTGTCTTACTCGCCCTCTTTCTCCGTCTTTGTCCGACATTCCTTCCACCTCCTCCCTCCCCCGCCCTCCCTCTCACTCAAACACAAAAACAGAGAGAACTGGCAGGAGGAGCGACTGATTCAACTGACCAACTATGTCTATAAATACAGCTCAGCTAAACCAGGAGACGGTTTTCTCTTTCTCTCACTGGTTACTCGTCCAATGACAAAACCATATGGAGTAGAACGTTAACCATCGCTGGTGTCTGTCACACAGGACTTCTCTGATTGTGAGGAACTTACTTGGTTCTGGTTCATTGTTGTGGAAAACCCTGGGTGCAGTCGTGGGGGGGGCGGCCGGAGGAGGAGGTCCCACCGTCAGCCTGAAAATGCGTCTCTCGTGGAGCCCGCAGTAATGGTGGTGCAGGTGGCAGATGTAGAGCCCTTTGTTCACGGGCTTCAGGTCAGAGATGGACAGTGAGAAGTCGCCGAGCGTGAAGGCGTCCTCCGTCACACTCATCTTGCTCTGGGCGAACAGCGGCCCATAATCCCGCCGCTCTCCGGACGCGTACAGGTCCACCAGGCGGTCAGCTTTGTCAGGACGCACACCTGGGGGCTGGAAGTCCCAGTGAGCCACCTGCTGCTGGTCCTCCTGAAGACCCTCGCGCCACAGGGGGCGCCGGTTTACACAGGGCAGCACGATGGAGCTGCCCAGCAGCACTACGAACACAGTCTTCTCTCCGTCCCAGTAACGTTTTTCTTTTCGAGCTGAAACCAAAACAGAACATGTCAGTTTGAAGACCTGTTGTTTAAAATTAAAATAAAATAAATTATTTATTTTTTTGTATTATTTCTAACATAGTTTCTGGTATTTCTGTATACAACATCAAGAACTTTATTGATCTGGAGAAATTGTTGCATCAACCACAGATCCTCTGCTGCCCAACAGGGGGCACCGAGCATGTGGTTCCACTGGGGCTCGAACCCATGACCTTCTGCGTGTAAGGCAGTGATCCCCAGAGGACCAGAGATGATGCGTGGACAAGCATGATAATTGCTACAGTATGAATCATTGGGAGTTGTAGTCTTATCAGCCTGACTTTGTAGTTCTGAAACCAGTGGAGGATGTCCATGATGTCGGTGTTCGTCCACATCTCACCTGACTTTGTGACGTTGAGCTGGATTTGAACAGACTGATGGATCTGACAGTAGTGATGGTGGAGGTTACAGGTGTAGACTCCTCTGTCGGTGGAGACCACATCTAAAACACACACACACATGTTTAGGATCAGCATAAAACCATAACTAAAGGAAGGACGTCATGTTGAGTCGTCTCACTGTTAATGATGAGCGAGAAGTTGCCGTCGTTAAAAGCCGAGCTAGGCACCGAGACGCGCCCCTTGTTGAAACCATTATAGACTCGTAGGTGGGCTCCGGGAGACATGTCCAGGACCCTCTCTACGGAATACTCCGGGCTGCTGCGGACCAGATCCCAGTGGACCACCCTCTGGCGGTCCTTCAGCCGGTCTCGCATCCACACCATGCGAGGGCTGTGGCAGGGGAGAAAGGCCCCCGAAACTGCCGGGTGACGTTCTTGGCCTCCACCACCACACCCAGACCACTGCCGCTGCCCTGACTCCAGGCTGACAGACAGACACAGACCACATGACCTTAGATGACCTGGTCAGGAGGGGGCAGAACACCAAGGAACCGATACATGAACAGTTACAGTACGTGGGTCTTACCTGCCGGCAGGAAAATCACCGCGAGGACTGAAACAGACAGAAAACACGAAGAATAAGAAAAATAAGAATCATGTGACTCTGATAGAACTCTTTAACTTTACTTCTTTGGTGTGATTTGTTTTTCATCTCTGGACTTTATTGGAGGAAAAAAAACTGGCAAAAATGGCTAAAACGTGTCTGACTTTTTGACTCGACCGATCCGAGAGTTGAGTTCATGTGAGTTCAGCCAAAGGACTGTTTACACTACGGGAAAAAAAAACAGGAAACGTGGGCAGAAGAAACAGACAAGAATTTAAAAGAAAAAGTCCCACACAGGACAACAAGATTATATCCTCCGAAAACATTAAAGTTTTCGACTCCTCGTTCTGGACTAAGTGTTCCTACACGA